CCATAAATCTTTTGTCTTTATTTGAATTTTCAATCTTCGACATATTGGTTTTTTTGTATATTCGGTAAAGATATTTTCCGTTGTTCGGATAAAAATCGATATGAAATTTATAAAAAACCGGTTATTAAAATCTCACTAGATGTTTTTCTTACTTTCATTTTCAACATCCTTTTCTGTACAAGAGAGCAAAAAAAAAATACACAGGCGCTTGAGACAGAGCGGAGGGGAGAGGAGGGAGGGGTGTACATCGCCCATTACTGTGTTTTGGGCAGAATTCTTCTTACCTTTGTTATTCAATGTCCTTATTGTTCTACCTGTAATTGAAGACGAGGTCAACCAAATTCATTCAATTGTCCAAATATGGTTATAACCATTCTTCCATTTTAAAGCGGAGTGATGCCCGGCTTGAAATATCTAACCTTAAGTAATAGTCTAAAACTAACTGAAATGTCATGGTAGAAATTTCATTCAGACTACTCCATCTGTTGACATGAATGAAGCAACCAAGAAGATTTTTTAAATGTTTGTGTATTTTCAACGTTCCTTTAAAACATATTCATCTTTCCAGATTCCACTATGGGTCTCATCCCTTTCAGAGAGTCCACATAGCTTATATATTGTAGGCCTAAAAGGTATATATATGGTATGGACAGAATCTCGAAATCAATGAAGGTTGCATTAGAATGTTTTGTTTCCTCTATATTGTTCTTGTTATCCGAACTAATTATCACATTGGTGTGACTGTACTGGTAGTGTAAATTACAGTTGTAACGACTTCATAACAGTTGTAGATGTACAACAAGAGAGCATGATATTAGATGTAATTTGAAATCAAGGTGCAAGACTCTCAGATGGTATTCAGATTTCTTTTCACAAGACCTAAAAGTACAAGAGCCAAGAACAGGAGGGCGTAAAACTCAATATCATCAACACTGTCATTTGAATTTGACGCATTATAAGAACTCTGATCAGTCCAGACTGCTAGCCGTATTCAGCAATTTCCTGTCGAAATGACAAAGGTCCAAGCAGAACAAAACAACACACAGTAACAAAAGGTGCTGTACAAATAGCACTTCAGGCAGTGAAAAGAAGAAGCCGGAATAAGCTCGGGGTTGTAATAGCAGTGCTTAATTAGTCATCTTCGTACAGTCAGAGCTTTTCATTATCATTATCACTGTAATACCACGTAATAACTGTGCCAATTCACTGATATAGGGACGATGATAACCATGTTAAAATACCAGATATAAAAGGAAAAAATGACCATGGTTTCAGGCGATGGAATTGGCTTACATTCGCAATTACTTTGTTTACAACACAAAACATTACATTGAATGAGTATCTGTGTCCTTAATTTTATCATATCTAGCCTACGCCCCTACCGTTCTTGAAAAGTGAAAAAAAGAACAATTCATACATGAACGCATATTCAAAGAAATTGCTTGCAAAGTGTCATGGTCTTTAGTTCTTTTATTAGACTGTAAACTCCCAAGCTAAAATAATCTCCTGACAGGGATTATATATTAGGAACACAAGACCGCAGAATGAAATTAAACTTCAATTAGATATACAAACAATTCCCTTATTTACTAGCTTGAACCAGGTCTGAAGATGGGATTAAGTTCAAATTCAAAGTCGATTTCAAGGCATCTCCTGTGATTCCTCGCAGTCGATGTGAACGCTTACAACTACCATCAATAAGATGGACAAAGATTAAGATGGCTCAGCTTTATGTTTAAATAGAAAGAGTAACAGAAGCATCCAGCGGCGACTGACTGCAATTTAACTGTCGTCTGTGTGCCCAGGTTGAAAGATCCAGAAATCGGTCTGATTCTCATAGTACTAAAAGCTACTATATATACTAAGTGTACACCAACACGAAACATCTTTTAGCCATACCAGTGTTAAAAATTCAGATTGTTGAACTAGGTTCATTGACTTCACAGCAGGAACAAATTACCTGATACCAAACCATCTCCATCTCTTTTAACTCTCCAATTCTCCGTAAAAATAAGGTTGTTAAATAACTACAAATAGACAATCTTTCAAAGAGAACACAGCCGCTTTCGGCATTCTTTTACATTATGGTTCTCTATTAACACACTTAAAATTTTTATACCAATATCATACTTCCGATGGTTTTCATCGTTTCATCAAAATGTTACGGGGTATATATAATATTATCATTTTCCAGAATAACCGTTATTTTATGTTCAATTTTTCTACCAATATTATATTATACAATATCAGCCAAATGTTTCCATGAGACATTGGTCGGTTTTACGACATGTCGCACTCGTTTGTGAAACATGGATCTGCCTAAAATATATTAGTAAAATTCCCTGTTGTTTAATATATTCCAAAAAGTATCTAATGAAAATAGACGGTCATCATCGTTGGAGAAAAACTTGTTTAAAAAATTTGAAGGTACTATCTCGACTAATACCGCCACCTAGATCGTGAAGTAAGAGTCTGAAAAATATCAATACCTTAAAGTGATACTACGTCTTAGAATGAACATAAAATTTAAGTTCTCAAGAATGGTCAATATGAGTATATATTCATCAGCGAACTTACCTGGTGTTATAAAGTTACAACAGAATCCCTGTAAAATCTGGAAAATTGGAAAATTCATAAAACTAAGTAATTATTGAAAACGCTTAATCATAATATTAAGCGTTTTTCAATAGTTAATTGCATTTTATGATTTTTTTTTGGATTTATCGGATTATATAAGGATCCTGTTATGCAATTTATGACACCAGGTATATCTACTGATGAATATATGCACTTATTCGCCAAGTTTAAAATCTTTAAATTTCATGTATATTCTAAGATGTAGTATCCCTTTAAGATGAAATTGGTGTGATAATCACACCGTAACATATCATCACCTCGTGGATCAACATTTTATCAGCTCAGAAAAGCATGTCACCTTGGCAACGCCTGCAACAAACCAGTGTAATTTGAATATTGAAGATCTGTCTTCACCAGTTGTATTTTTAATATCATCTTATTACCTGCCGCCACCATATATACTAATTATATTCACTAATTGTCCGTTTATATACTCTATATGACCGCTAGGCCAAGCTCTAATTTCAGCAACGTACTGTATTCTGATCTGAGAGTTGCTGTAGGTCCAAATAAAGTCTCTGACAAAGTTCAGAAGCAATATATATTGAAGCAAAGTCTTGAGTTGTATCAACTACTGATTATACTGACTAATTGTCCGTTTATATACTCTATATGGCCGCTTGTCCAAGCTCTAATTTCAGTAACGTATTGTATTCTGTTTTAAGAGTTGCTGTAGGTCTAAATAAATTATCTGGCAAAGTTCAGAAACCTCATTTATCTTAGAAATACCTAATACTTAGAAGTATACCAAATATGAAAATTTTTAAAAATGTCTCCTCACTAGCGCCGCCGTTGCAATACAGTCCGGCAGGTGCATACAGTGCTTGAACTATACTTAATCTATGTGCACTAAGATGACTGCTATTTTTCGGCCAAAAATTGCGTAGACAGTGCGTAAATAGCAGTGTCATATGGACACATAATTCCTAGACGAGGTTATAGATGGGTATTATTCAAATGGTATTTTGTGTGGAGATCATTGAAAGAATTGGGTCTATCTGAAAAAAATCTTCATTCAAAAAAGTGAAATAATCAGAGATGAAATACAACATTAAGCTCAGGTAAGCCTATCAGATATATCAAGTAATCTCTTAATGGTCTGTTTTTATTCTACACATAGCGTCTAATCCAGCTATATTTTCTTATATTTTTACCTCATTAAATACGACAAACCATAAAAGATGAAAGAAATTTTTTACACTTTTAGAAATTAAGATTTATAAGCCAAATGACAAAGTATTAGTGTTAAGAAAAACGTTAAGAAATCAATATCTGAAATACATCGTTCAAAATAATAAAATAGATTATGTCCTTGAATCGAACTGTACACAAGATCCAAAAATCTTGTTGAATCTCGAAAACCCAAAAAACAGTTAAACAGGGATAATGCTGGGGGGTTAATTTTGAATACATGTAAATATTCTTCAGAAGTACTAGAAATATACGAAAATCACATAATTCCTTTAAAAATACCTCAAACTAGGAACTCTACTCACTATTTCCATATAACGTTTCTATATATCACAGAGTATCTTAAATTGACCAGTCGTCATTTTAACATACATATGCAGGTAATTCTTGACACACATGGTGGATTCGAAGCTCAAATGTCGACGGTAAGCTGTGAATACTATTACTGATTAGCTTAGCTACGAAATTCCAGTCTCTGAGACTAAAGTATAATTGGTCAAAAAAATGACCTACCTGTCCGGTCTTGGGAGGTGTTATGGTGCCACGTATCACCACCTGGTACTAAGAGTTTTGTTTGCTATGAGGGAGATGCATTTTGACCACAAAAACACTTATTCCAGCTTGTTTGATACAGTAGGTCGTATGGAAGGGGGCAGGGTGTTTGAAATTTTAGCAATTAATCAAGCGAGTTATCATTCTTTAAAGGGATGGGTTGGCATTTTCGGGGTTGATTTGGGTCTTATATATATGTAAATAGTCTTCAGAAGTACCAGAAATGTACAAAAGTCGCATAATTCTTCAAAAATAACTCAAGCTAGGAATTTCACTTTCTATTTCCATATTTTACGGTAGAGTCGTCGTTGTAACTTTGAAACGCAAATAATTCTATACAGTCATAAAGTCTTTAATTTTGACGGTGAGTTGTCAACATTGTTGGTGAGTTGTCAACATTGTTGGTCAAACGGATTGCAAACCTGTCCATTCGAACCGAATACATGTCATCTGCAGCCCGGAGTTTTACTAATCTGCTTGAATCCAGTTATTATCTATTAATTAATTAATTAATTATAATCTATTTATGATGATATCAATTTTTATTATAAATTAATCAATTATATATACACTCAATGTTTATATAATACAATACAATATATACAAATATACAATACAGTTTACCCAAAATATTCAGAAAGCCTTGGGTCACTTCTTAATTTCAACTCCAGTGCCATATATTTACCTGGTGCCATTTCTTTATGTCTGAAATTTAAAAAAAAAATTAAGGGTCATTAAGAGTTATCGCTAAGTTTTTACTAAATTCATTGTGGGGAAAATCTGAATATTTTAAGAATATTAAACAATGTCACTGCTGTGATTGCAGCTTTCATCATTTCAACTTTATTTTAGCAAGCCATTTAAAAATAGGGCCCTATAAACTAGGCTTAATATACAAAATAACAAATTCTGTGTTTGTTCTAACTGTTTTCCTCTCAAATGTCAGGAAATTAGGGGAAAATCTTGTGGACTTTCTGATTAGTGAATAATTACAATGAAGGGGGAAGGATGGAGCTGGGTATTTAAAAGAGATGAAGTGGGAGTTGAATCTAATTTAGTACCACTTTATGATTTTGATCGACATGTCACCCTAAACTACATTTCATCTTTTGCAATTTCACAAAACCCCCAATCCTAACCTAACTAGGTTTTGTCCCACTGTTTTGAAATCAATCATTGCTATATATAGTTTATCATAACATTTAAACCACTGACTTTATCAAATTTAAAATAAAAAAGAAAACTTTTTGCATGACTGGAGAAATTTATGTAACTTAAGTGAATAAAAGTTCTTAAGATTTAGATTTCATATTTTCATTTTAACTTTATTATCATTTAGAATGTTACCTAGCAACTGTTTAAAAGATATGACACAACTAATTTTAACTGAAATGTATTGTGTCCATAAGAATCAGGGGTTAATTTTATGAAATTGTAACTTATGATGATTTTCATGTTTCAGTCATTTGTTTTGAAAATTACCAATATCGATTTTAAATTTAGCTTTATTAACCAATCAGATAGTCACATTTCTGAACATCTGAGTTTTATTCCAGTTAAAAGTTTTAACTAACATGAATTGTGTCCATAAGAATCAGGGGCTATCAACAAAAAACTTGTGATGATTTTAATACAAATCAGAATGCCCCTTTAAATCTAGCTTTATTAACCAATGAGATTGTCACATTTCTGAACATCTGAATTTAGTTCAGTTAAAACTTCGTTGAAGCAAGTTTCTGACTGTTGTACAGTATATAAATATGGAAGGACAATGAAACTTCTCTATACCTGTTTAAACGTAGTTCTAAAATATGGATTCTGAACATAGCATCACTACAATAATTCAAATAATCTTCTTCATTTTCTTTAGACATAGAAACTTGATTCTGTTGGTACCAGGCCTGTTTTTTCTGTAATTCTTGAGTTTCCTGAATACAAAAATCATAGAAATATTAAGCAGCTTAATGACATTTTTTGCCTGGAGATCATATTCTTAATCCTTTCAAAAAAGCTTGTCAGGTTTACCTATGGCATGCAAAAGTTTGTTGACCTTGAGTTTGTAGTCATCCTTATTATTTATCTATCATTATTTCTGTTGACTCAGATTTGAAAGTATACAGATAATCAGCGAACACTCAATATGAAGAGGTTTGATCGAAAACCAGTTTATAAAATAGGATCCTTAATTTTCCTTCAAGTGGTAGCACAATGTTTCCCACCCTCACCAAAGGAAACATGTGTTTTTTATATTAAAAACTGCATTTGATTGGTTCAATATCAAATGACCCAGAACAGGAGATGAATAATAATCTTGTCAGAGCATGGACGGAAAATGCCTACCTTTTCAAACCTTGCTTGTATTAAATTGGCTTTATCAATCAGCCTCTGTTTGAGATCATTTAAGCAGTCTTCTTTTAGTTTAAAGGCTTGAGGACGTTGAACGTGTTCTGGGTCTCCTATCTGTGCCAGGAATGGTGCCAAATAATCTATTTCCATCTCCTGTTTTCTCATCTTCTCTTCTAATTGAAGTCTCTCCTAAAAAAATAAAAAATATCAAAGCATAAATTTTTATATAATATTATAATATTAAACACAGAACACAGATTCTACAAAGAGAATTTATAAAATGTAGAATAAACTATAATCCAATAAACAGAACTAATTTCTAACTGAACTACAAGAATATGGTTTATTAAATAACTTTTAGCAACTGTAAATTTTGAAGTTAGCCAGATATTTAGTCCAAATGACTGTAGTATAATGTGGCATGATGCAATTGACTTGATGAAGTTACAGCCGTATTTATAAGCTTATACATATTGAGCTCAATGAGGGCACATATAGAAAATGTCTCAGCAAGAAGCTCTGAGATGAATTTTGAGCATTTAGAGGGCTTAATTCTCACTTCAAAATGACCCAATATCCCTCCCCTAGATACGTTACTGAGTACAATTTCACAGTTAACATGGCTTGGTGCTATTCTTCAAATCAAAAATAATTTTTGGCAAATTTTATCCATGAATTAGCTTTATTATTGAATTCAATGATCCAGTGGTGGGTATAAGGAATTAAACACACTCTGTGCTGGGATATACATTGTGATAATACATAGAGATATATCATGCAGGAGACAGGCTACTAATGACATTGTACAGGATTCTAATACTTGTATTTTATCTCGGATTTGTGTCCTATTTAACCCTTTAATACCCACAAAATAATTACATGATATAAAACCATGCCGTCTGTTTGACAGCTGCTACCAATAGATGTCACATAATGTTAATGTCATTAGATTTATGTTTAAACTATATCACTTGGATTTCGTTATTTACACCTAGAGTTCAAAGCTTTAAATCAGTGCTTCTCAACCTCAGTGAAACCATTCCTCCCCAGAAGATCTTCCTCATATATTCCTCCCCAAAATAAATCATTCTTTTTGAAATGTATTCAATGGATATCTATGAATGGATATAAAATCATACTCCACATATTGAGATAGTTCACTGTGATTTTGGGACGAAAGTTTGTTCAGGATTTTCTGTAATTCCCCCCCTGTCGGGTCAAATTCATATATATATTTATATACAAAAACTCAAATATAAAAAATCTGTAAATCCAACATTGGGCCAGTCTGTTAATGGGACAGCTCTCTGATATACACTGAACAAGATCAAAACCAGCTATTGTGTTAATATCCTTTTTTGTTAATATAAAATTCAGCCATTTCGTTTTGCTTTATAAATAAAGTCTAATTTAATTATCTTTCCTAAAAATATGAGGTTTATATTGAGTAATATAATGAAATAAGTCTGATTCAATTTTGCCGATATCAGCCATAATACAATGTTATTTTTATTTAATGATTATAATTTTTTTGTAAATTATTATCAAGTCTGGCAAAATGACATCTTATCTTTCTTATACCTTGACAATTTATGTTAAAATTTAAATGGACATGACCCTTCACCCACTAAGAGTTGGTTGGTAGATGAAAAGTTAAGATAAACTTCAAGCAGATGCTGGAAGCCACCAATAGTGATAGAAACAAGTTCCATTTTAAATATCTTTCCAGGTTTGCTACCATAGATATGCTCACATAAAATAAGCTTTCTCATTGATAACATTACAATGTAAAAAAATAGCCAGACATGACTGGTACAGACAGCCAAATCAACAACGCTGTACATTGTGAAGGTATATCACACACTGTGTATGGTATGGGTATAAGAATCATTCTATAATTTGTCAGGGTTTTTACCCTCAAACTCACTCTCCAATCTAGATTGGCTGCTAATTTTTCCTAAAAGATTACATTCATTTTAATATCAATCTTGATTAAAAATATCAAATCAATATATAGTTGTTCATTTACCCCACTTTTAGAATTTCAGAGAAAAAAGTTGTCACTAAGTTGAAATTTTGGAAGAAAAATTGAGAAGCTACTTTGTTCAATTGTAGAAAAAAAAAGAGAAGTCACTAAGTTCAAATTTAGCAAAAAATTGAGAAGTCACTAAGTTCAATTTTAGAGAAAAAAAATGAGAAGTCACAAAGTTCAATATTAGAGAAAACAAATTGAGAAGTCACTTCATTCAATTTTAGAAAAAAAAGTGTGAAGTCACAAAGTTCAATTTTTGAAAAATTGAGAAGTCACAAAGTTCAATTTCAGAAAAAAATTGAGACGTCACAAAGTTCAATTTTAGAAAAATTGAGAAGTCACAAAGTTCAATATTAGAAAAAAAAGAGAAGTCACTTACCAATTCTTTACGATGTGTTTTAGCCTTTTCATTTCTATCTGTATCATATACACTTATCTCTAGTTCTGATTCTGTCTCTTCTTTAGTTCTATCATTTAATATTTCTCTAACCTTAAATAGAATAGAGTTTTACACCCTACTTTTCCTTACATCTGTCAATGCATGAATGCATGCTGTCAAATATAAAACACATTCTACCAAGATATTGATAATTATTCTTCAAATCTTGTTTGAAATCTGAATGCAATTAATTAACTTGCACAAAATTGTCATGGCAATGTAAATTGCTGAAACATTGTGTACAATAAAACTCATGATTAGTTAACCATAAAATTGTATTATGTTATTTAATGTGATCCCTATCACTGAATGTCTTAAGGATAAATATTTGAGTTATTTGAACTGACTCATAAAGTTTGTCGTCTTATCTTTTCTGATAACATGAAACAGTAAATCCAAAATGAGATATTTGGTTAAATACAATACCTCTTCTTCCGAATCACGAACTCGCTCTCGACAAATATCTTCTGCTTTTAATAAATCTAACAACATTTCATAAATTTCTACTTGTTTTTTAGACTTGGAATCAGGATCAACCTGTCAATAAAAAAATGCAGTCATGCTTGAAATACCACAATTATATTTTGGATGAATTTGGTAAGCATCTCATACAAACCTCAATTAATTCTTTAGCTTTTTGTCCTTGACTTAAGAATTGTATTAAGATAGGAATTTGTCTGAGTATTCTACTTGTGATTGCTGTTTTAATATGTTTTTAACATAAAAGAAAAATAACCTAAGGCAAAACTGCTGGTCTTTGTTAGCTCTTGTCAAGTGATATTCTTGTCAAGATTAGCATTCCAGATGTAACAATCTTACAGCTTACAAAAAAATAGTAAATATATCTCATTGGCTTTTTGAAGCATATCATGCAAAGGGAAATTCAAACACTTTTGGAAACCTTAATATATAACTGGATTAAAGCTACAAAAAAACCTAGTTAACAAAACCAAAACGACTTTTCTTTGCATCTAGAATATTCATCAATAATGGAAAACAGTACAGTGCCCATTCAGAGCACCTGTTATTACTATCTTAAACTACCTGGAAAGTTTGATGTTGTTGATCTGATTCCCATTTTAACGTGGCTCCTTTCTCTTCCCAATTACTAGGTTTGATGAACTCTCTAGTGGAGGAGGCTATTCTAGCATCTTCTGTATGGTATGTTATTTGAATCTTATCTTCTGACACAGTGAAAGTTAATTCATAGATGTCTTCATTCGCCTCTTTTTCTGGGTTACGTTTAAATTTCTGTAACATTTTCTATAAATAGAAAAGTGATAATTGAACTAGTGATCGCATAAAAAATAAGAATATGTTAATTTGATGGAATCTCAGTTATTGCTAGTCTGATTGGAGAAACAACTTCTGTATTTTGAAAATCGTTCTTTCATTTGTTCATGTACCCTCAAAATCTTGACTTCTGATAATTAAACTTTTTAAATTGTTAACAGATGAATACAATCCATTTCTTCAATGTTTAAATGATTCTGGACTTACATTGATAGGCCTGGCATTACCAGAACTCCCTCCATCTTGAGGACCAAATTTTTTCTGTCTTTTACCAAATTCCACATGTTTATAGAACAAGAAATCATCTCTGTTAACGTAGTGTTCTGTTAGTTCTGAAGGTGTTTCAATTCGTTTCATCAAACCATCCACTCTAGCTTCATGGTAAAATATCATAGTTCGTTCATTTTCTGGTGCTGGAGCACTGGCTTTATAATGATGTTCTGAAAGTAAATACAATTCTTATCATCTTCCTGCTTGATGTTACCATTGAAGGTGGGTACAGAAGAGGTCTAGTGTTCTATGACCAGGCAGGGTATGCTTACTCTTTTAGACACCTGATACCAGTTCCATTACAAACACTCAATTATGATTGATATACTTCATCATGTGAAATGTTCATTAATTGCTACCAATGTTTGGCAATATATTGTTTGGATTTCTGGTTTTGTATTGTGGTTCAGATTTATATGGTGCACGGAGCTGGATTTTTCAATACAGTAGAAAATAGAGGAGAGGAATACACAAGGTAATGAGATACTTGCATGCTGAAGGTGTCAATGATAAAAAAAATTCCCTAACACAATAGTCTAACTTAGTCTTAAAGTAGGAGTCCTTTTTATTCTATTAACACCAGAGCTGATAATGTCAAACTAAATACCTTTTAAACATCTCTGTCGTCCAGGATAATAATACTCTGTTGTCCAGCCTGTACGATGGTTGTGTATTTTAGTATGTAGTTTATCTTGTCGATGTGCGTAAAATTCTTTCGTTTGAACCAGGTCTGTTACTGAAAACAAAAATCGTTATAATTATACTCATATATTTGGTTTTAAATTAATGAGGTCTACAAACCTCTTTATGTGTATAGGGGGCACTGATAGCATCGAATCACACCATTCCAATTTTCATGCCAATGTCTGACTTTATAGCAGTTTCACTAAACTAAGCATGATGAAGTCGCTATCAGAAAAGCTGTAAATGACATTCATAACATTGTGTTAGCTAAGTCATAAATCACTTACTTTTAATGGAATTTCAAAATCACTATTATTAGTTTTGTTTTTAGCTCTTCATTATATTAAAGTGATACTTTATAGAAAATCTAAAATTAAAACAACTTACATTCTCTATCCTCATAAACAGATAATTTACAAATTAAGCCATCAGGTAGGAGATAATGGGCAAACTTCTCTAATTTAGCACGTTTATAGAGTTTACTCTTCTTACCAAACGGACAACGCATCTGGAAATCTGGAAAAATAATGACCAAAAGAGTAAATCATGAGTGTATCAGATTGGGATTGAAAATCATTGTGATTTTGATCAGGCTTGTTGTGTACAATGAGGGAAACTTCTTCAATTCAATTTTCTTCTTTTATTTCTAACTATCCAGCACAGAAAGCTGAAAGAGCTAACGTTTTTTTTTGAGACAAGCTTTAGCTTTTTAAAACATGAATCAGTCGACTTAACAAATTATGAAAATTTTAGAGACCACAGACGTTTGATTTGTGAATAAAACAGAAATTTAGTGGATGATAAATAAGTTAGTCTATTTGAAGCACCTCAATTAAATTTTTGAGAAATTTTTCAAATTTTTTGTCAATGGCTTTAGGACAACGACTGAAACTAAACACTATTCTCTGACACAGTTGAAACACATCACAAGGTATTCTTATCTCCTTGATGTTTTATAGCTTTGATCTTTCTTAATGAATGAAGATAATTAATTAGTTGAATATAACAACCCTGATCATTTATTATTAATAATTATATACACACATATATCAAAACAAAATAAGGAGATGTTGATTTTAATGAATTTGCCAGTCATGTCTGAATAGAGGTCCAGATTCTTGTATTGACTGTATTTTTAAGTTATGTTCAATTCAAGCATCAAAATATATTTAATTTCTTAAACCAATAACAAAATCAAATGTTGAATATGTAGTCATTTAAATAGATGTTCAGAATAACAATTAACAAAAAAGACAATTTGGACTTTCTATCAAACATGACTGGCAAATATAGCCAAATCAAGGGTCCTCATCAGATTTTTTATAACATCGTGGGGAGGGTCATGTCTTACCTTTTAAAGATAATTTAAGGGGTTGAACCCAGGATGGTGGCATGTCTAGGTGTTTCTCTACATCTTTATCTTCATCCTATAGATATTAAATATCAATATTAATAATTATCATAAACTAGAAATAGCATGATTTATATCATGGCTCAATATTCAAATACAATATTTGTTTCAGCTGTAAGGTTTTAATATATAGGAATATGGTTTTCTAATGTAAGCTTAACCAGCTGACAGACCTTAATTTCGGCAATCCATATAACTTTTCATAATTAAAATCTGATATCATATTCTCCTACAATTTTTACTGCAAAAATCTACTACACCAGTTTAGTACATGTATAACTTGCAGTGATTAATATTCTCACTAACAGTAATATCAGGACATTGACAATGGATTCAGATATATCAAAGATATATTGGGTTTTAACAGCTGAAGTAAAGGCCATATACAACTTATTGGTCATGGTTGATTGGTTGGTAGATGACAAGTAAACATGTGCTTTACCCTGTGTCACTGCTTTTATAGGTAACTTACTAACAGGAGGTCTGATTTAAATTTGTAATGATATAGCATAGATTAATCTATTTCAGTACATACCTCATCATCATCTAAACCACCAATCAGATCTTCCTCTGTTTCTGGTATTTGTAATAGTGGTTTATCTGTACAGGGAAACATATACTCCCATTTCGTACAGTCACCTAAATCATAGCTTAATCCCTGTAACACACAACAAAATAAACATATTACCAACTTAATATTCCCCTACTGTCTTGAGCGATGTCAAGTAAAAAAAAAATGGTTTTATACATGATATGACTATCTTAAATCAAAATGAGAAATAAGCAACTCAATAGCTACAAATTTTGATAAATCCCCACGCATTATTGTAGACAAATTGTAAACAAAAAGATAGCTTGCCAGGCAAGGTAACATACGCCCAATGGCAGCTGTCAGAAATGATTAAACAGTCTTTAGTGACTACAGGGTTGCACAATATAGCTAATAGAGTGAAACGTCAAGTCAGACACGATATTTCGGTGAAATATTATCCGATCCAAATGTGAACGTACGGACGGACAGACGGACCGACGGACCGACGGGGTGATTACAATATACGCCCATCTTAGGTGTGGGCGTATAAAAACAAAGGCAAAGTGATCAGAAATAAATAATTTAATCTCTTTCCTAATCTTATATAAAATTAGTTTGAAGACAAAACACAAAAAGAGAAATAATAAGAAAATCAATCATTACCTGTACACCATTAGAACAGTCCTGCATGTTGACCCAATAATTCATATTATTCCAGACTGACTCTATACCTAGATAGTTGGTGCTGTCTACAGGGTGAGGTAAGCCAGTGAACGGTTCAATAAAAAAACTTTCTGCTACCTCTCGTTTACCTGGTAATACTAGAATCCAGGTGTGAATACGTAGACCATACAGTGGATCTGGTGGCGGCTTCTCTAATTCCTGCAATATAAATTACTTAATAAAATATAAAATTCTACTCTTGTACAATTGCTAAAATATGGAATGTTTTCAGAATAAGAGCTTTAATGGGTATATATGAGCATGTTCAGTATAAATAATTAACTTTCTTCATTATTTCATTCAACCAAAGACTAGCTAGTTGACAGGATAGGTAAATCTACATTGTTATCCTTGTGAAAAATTGTAATCTTATTTCTGAACCAAAGTTTTGGTCACTCTGACAAGAAAAAAACTTAAAAATTTATCAGCAAATGTGTAAGTGAACATCTAAACCTCACTTACCAATTGTCTCTCAATTTCTTCTTGACGTCTTTTAGCTTCTTCAGCCTCTTTCTCAGCTACTTTCCTTTGTTCCATTTTAATTTCAAACTTACTACGTAAATCACGAGGTGGTTTGACTGTATATTTCTTTAATTCCTTCTTCTTCACCTCTTCTTCTTTCTGTCAATCATAAATATATTGATAAATCAAACACGAATAATAAAAGGTTTTAAAGGGACAAGTTAGCCATTTGGGTCTAGAATGGACGTAATTTTTTACTTCACTCAGATTATGAAGTAAATACAAAGCCTGGAAATTTGTGCAAGCTCTAGAAGAGAGTGTTTACTATACTTAGAACCTTGATAAAGAAACTTAACGATTTAATTCAACATAATGAATCTTCTGGGCAGTAAACAGCAATTCCATGCACACTTTCAAAATTTGTTAACATTTGTTTATATTCTGTTTTTACCTTTTCTTTCTTTTTAAGAAGTGGACAGATTTCCCTGGTTTCATCAGCCAGACATGTTTCTTTTGTAGCGTAACCATTGACAACGTAGGCATCATAGCCAGCAGCCAGGAGAAATGAACATAATAATGTACTATATTCAAAACAATTTCCCTTCTGTCTCTTTAACACTGTGGTTGGTGATAGCAGTCTTTTAGGCTGAAAATTTCAATAATTATTTGAGATAAGTAAACTTATGAATAATTCAAAGCCAAGTCTGCATTTACTTCAAAACATTTCTTGATATCGATTCACAAAATATGTAGCGAATTTACTCATTTTACTCATCCATAAACATTATTAATATGAATAAGCTTATTAAAAATTGTTCAGAAAAACATTTCAAATACCTTAAATAAATTCTTTGAGGCAGTCATAATTCATCAAAAATAAGCAAGATCATTTCAAGCCATGGGCAAATAGATGTGAATGAGGACATTGAATGAAAACAGGGTCTAAGGTTTTAAAATATATACTATGACTCACTAGTTCATATGGTGGATCTAATGTTTCAAAGTTTAAATAATCAGCTACGAACTCAGCAGCTGTATCCCAGTCATATAATTCTTTATACGGTAGCTGGGTAGGGTTGATTGTTGTACATACTAATTTCTAAAATATAAAACAAGTGATATAATTTAATAGTAATTCATATTCATAGTAACAATACTATGTACAGCACATTATCATATAGTTTCTGTTTATTTAAACTAAACGAAACATGAAATTAGTTCAACTTCATTAGTAGACCTATTTTCCATTCATTAATTCAAATTTTTAATCTTATGAAAGTAATGACTACCTGCAAAGTGGCTGGTTGTAATTCATGTCATAAACAAATAGATCTAAATGTGTTTAATGCTGACACTCAGTGTTTCAAAGTGTTAATAATAACATTATAACTGACCTCAACTCGACACTCGTTGATTGGATTAAGAAACAATGGCTTCCTATCGCGATAGAGATGAACATATTGTCTGCGGAAATTATCAGCATATTGTAGAACTAATAATTCTTTTGGTAAATTATCTTTATATGATTCAGTGAACTCTGATGTATCAAAAATTTCTTCTTCTCTGCAAAGGAAACATTGTTAAATCTAATAATATTGACCAAGCAAGAAACTGTTAACTATGGTACTATTATACAGTCTAATTACCTAAGTAATTAATTTATGATTAATAAGGTCAAATGCTTTTAATACCAATACGGAAAATAACAGACTCAAACCCTAGGCCTTAGGCACATATCTATATATGGGGCAATATGAAATATCTTAAGATATGCTACTTTATGGTAAATAAATGTGAGCCATTTCACCCAGCAAGGTAAGTAGTAATTCCAACATTCGTTCGGTTTAATAACTTACTTTTCCACAGTTGGAGTATGGACAACAATTTTAGCCAATTCTTCTTTCAATTCTTCTGCATCTGGTGACAATTCATCCCCTTCTCCGATTTCGTTTTCATTATTTTCCGACCCACCGTCTTCAGCACTCCCCACATTACTTTCTGTTGCATCTATAGGATTTAATTCAATTGTCGGCAGATCAGATGTTTCGCCTGCCCCACTTTCCATCTTGAATCACCGTTACAATTCGTGTTGCGACAGTAGTTTACTGTTAAATCATAGAAAATCGTGAGAAATGATTGTTTACAGGTTTCTTAAGAGCCGAACAACAGCTATTGTAAACATATCCGCCGTCATAGAAACCAAATATAGTTCTAACTTGATTTCGAAGTCAATTATATGGATTAAGCAATTCATTGATCAATACATTTTGTTTCCATGAACAATGCCATTTGTTTGTAATAAACCATAAAAATTTTCTCTATTGGTATTGGAATGAAACCTTTAAAGAAATATAGAATTCCTACGCGAACAATCAAAGAAACTTCCGGTTGACAGAAAATCGAGTTACCTCCCCTGACACATCAAATTATCTCCCTTTATGTGCACCGATTATTCAAGTTTAAGCGAAATCTTATGTATTCCCCGTTGTATATTTGAAAACAAAGGACAAGATCGAATTAAATGATCAAGCTAAATCACTCAACCAAATATCGTCCGAGGTTTTAACAATAATAATATCGATTTGTAAAAATTCCCCTAACATGCTTAGCTGTCTATGTGTCTATGATAATATCTTGGAATCTTTCTAGTGAATTGGAATAATAGTTTCGGAGGGAGGGTTGTTAAAGAGACGAGGTATTTACTTCCACTTATGCATTTACTAAAATGGTAAAGTCTTGACATTCTACTCATTGTAAGATTATGATATGAGTTAATATTAATATTCTACATTAATGGGGTTTAACTGGCAACTGAATATATTTTTTTGTCTATACCAATTTACAGCTGGGTCAACTGAGATAAGAGTCTAGGACCATCATTTGTACAGGGTTATCAGGCAAATGATGTCATACCCATACTCTAACTGACAGTACTACAGCCTGTTTTCAAGGTATTGATAAATGTGGATATACATGTATAAGCCCTCAGAATTTATATTTTAGTTATGTATTCTGTCCTGTCATTTCATATGAGGAATAAAATAAAAGAAGTCAATATATATAAAGATTTTTTTTACAAATACAAGATTTTTGTTTACGATCAATAACCATATTTATCATTTAGATGAGTTTTACCATCTCCACTTTGACCTGTAATGAGAAAAAAGGAAAATTATTTTTCAAAACCAATTATGAAAGTTTTAACAGATATTACAAGGTCAAATTCGCCTCCGCATAAGACTTATCCAATGCACAGTGATGTAATGTTGAGTGTCTCTCTCTACCATTAATCCGATAAATATCAACATGTAGAATTGAATAATACAAGGCAGTTTGCAATGAAGGAAGGGAATTTTGAGTGATCAATGGCATGAACTTAGATAAAGTATTTCAGAATAGTAAGTCACAGCAGATTGATGTAGTTTGACAGAAAAGGGGGTCCCAGGATACTTTGTAGGTTCCTAATTTTCCAACTGACTATCTGAAGCTGCAAATAAACAAGGGAGATAATCGATACAGTAACATATACTGAATGGATACTGTACTTTGCCTATATCACAGCAATACAAACTAACTGAGTACCTACCTGTTGGTGGAAGCCAAGAAGCATAATCAGGATCAGTAGAATCTACCTCCATATTATTTCTCTCTTTCTTCTTTTTAATATCTATATTAATATCTTCATTAGATACCCGTTTCTTTCCTTTCTTCTCTATAATAGAACAATTATTGTTTTATAAATAGATTGAAAAAAACATCAAATGAAATAGACTTAACAACCTGCTTTTCTGCTCCTGATACAGATAATAAATATATGCTACTTGTACCACATACCACATTTTACCACAATAACAATATACTATAACAGCATGTATACTAGCTGGTAGCCTAATGTTTCTTACCAATAGTCTGTTTAATATAAGACTAAGACTAAGTTCAATTCATTCCTTAAAGAATATTCAGACACTTTTTCCGTCCTATGGTAACATTGAAAATTCAGAGCAAACCATGTTCATATTGCAGATATAGCATCAAAACATCTTCCAAACCAGAAGAGTATGCTCTCATGAGAAAGTGTAATTTTTGGGGCAAAAGGATTCCTTAGACGGCAATCAAAAGAAATAGACAAATCAAAGCACATCTCACCTTTATTAGGCGGTGGAGCAGGACCTTTAATTTTACTTTCAGAATCAGAAATTCCTTCTTTTTCAGAATCAGGAATTTCATTCTGTAATTGTTCTAACACTGAAGATAACGTATTCACATTAGATTTAGTTTTAACTTTATCACTAGAGTCACTCTGTTTTTCACTTTTATCTGATTGAGAATTTCGTGGGGGAGGTTTTGGAATGTTTTTAATTTTGTCTGATTTTTCTGGAGTTTCATTTTCTTCTTCTGATTCTTCCTCTTCCTCTTCCATCTCACCCTCTTGTCTGATGACAGGCACACGACTTGCAACCTGTAGAGTTAAAAGATAAAAACCTGAATGGATAGTTATTGACCTTCTTATTATAACCGGAAGACCCATAATTTGAAAATTTTTAAGAGAAAACATAAAATAGATTTTGTCCTATATGGCAAATTGAAATCTGAACATAAGCCGGAGCAATTGAAGAAATTGCAAGAAAATTTGATTGAATCATGACAGCTATTAACTAATGAAGCACAAGATATATGGATATACTATTTCTGACATTTATTAACTCAACGTATTAATGCTCATACAGGCAGCGTTATCAAGAGAAGTGCTATTAACTAGTAAAAATAAGTTGCTATATTTGATTGATGCATGTACTAACACAAAAACAAACCTGACAACACTTATCATCAAGGGTCTAAGATAAACACTATTGAGTCAAATATGGGTTACCTTTGGTTGAGATTTCTTAACAGGTTTATGTCCTGTTAAACCTTTCATTTTATCAACAGGTACTGTGGACACTTTCTTCTCTAATACTGGTCTGAAATAAAATTATGTTGACATATTATCAAATTTATCACTATTATAAATTAAAAAAAAAGAGTCATTAACAGAAAGTAGCAGATCAAGAAAGGAATACAGGCATTTAGCAACAGATTTAAATACTATATCTATATCACTGCCCTTTTAATCATATTATAAACTCAATCAAGAACCAATATGAAACGTTTGGTAATAACTCACTGTTTGAGTTCTGGTAACGAAGCAGGTTTAGCAATATTTACTAGTTTTCGATATCTCATTTCTTCAGTACGTAAAACTATCAACCTTCGCTTTAAATTCATCTTAGTTTTAGTATCCATGACCCCTGCTTTAATAGCTGACATATAGGCATCTAGAGCATCCACATCATCACCATCAAATGCTGCAGCTTCTACAAAATACAGTGTCAGTATGTACAGATTTACTCTTGTGTTTAATGAACAATTTTCTAATGGATAGATTTTTCAAGAATATTTGTTTATTACTTTCAATGTCAGAATGTTATTCAATAGTCCTGATGACAGTGTGAAAATAACATTGAAAGATTGAAAGTAATAAATATCTTCAAAGTATCTTTTGTTGTTATAATCTTAATAAACTCAAAGTTCAAATATAAAGGGAAAGGGGTCAGATACCCTTTCCTATGAACCCTATATAATTAGTGATTAATGTTTTAAAAGAAGAAGTTTGTCATACTATTAATATTTTATTTATATACCTGCTTTAGCCTGTTCTAATTTAGCATCAATCTCTTCCATTTCACTGATTACTGCTTTATGTTTCTCTAACTACAAATAAACACATATTTCCACATTTCCATAACAGTTTGTATTATAAGTATCCTTATCCCAGTCATAACTGAGAAACACAATGTTCATAGCCAATCAGACTGTGACTTGTGATAGTGACATCATAAAATGCTTAGTTTAGTTTAAGTGAAATTGCAAGAACCACAGACATCTGATTGAAAATTGGAATGTTGCAAATCAATTCTGACAGTGTCCCTGAAACACCTTTAAAGTTTAAAAACCTCTTTAAAATCCTTTAAATATTCTTTTTCCAATAAACACTCAACATAAATTCAAAAAAAAATAAGTATGGTTTTTGGATACTTACCAATGTGTCATATGAATCTCCTTTATTATCTGCTTTCCCAGCTTGTATCATACGTTTAGTACGTTTCTTCTCTATTGTACCAGTTCGATCTAAAAATGTGTCTTCATCACTATCATAAAAATCATCAGCTTCCCAATTCTTGGCTTTCTTCTTACGACTTTCTGCAAATATAAACATTCAACAGTTTATAAGAAGCATGTTACAGATATCAGAAAAAGTTTCAGTTAGATTATTCAATACACCATTTTTTTTGCAAAACAAAAGTGGCAAAATGTACAGCTATTCACACTAGCTCTTCAAGCATCATTTTTTGTAATTATCATGTATTGCAATATGCTATTTGATCCTTTCCTTGATGGGACTATATTTCTGATGAAAATTTCTTTTTTGTGTGTTCACTCAGCACTGTAGGCAGTCCAAACACAACAAACATGTGATAGTGACAATCAAAAAGCTGTAAAAATGTTAACATACCATGTTTGGCCTGACGTAAAAGTTGATGTCTATCTAGTAGTCTACAAGCCTCTAAAGCACAGGCTACAACTGCCTCTTTCTTCTTACCAGAGATCATAACTTCAGCTATTAGAGGTTCTCCATTCTGACCATCTACTGGTAGACTAAAAGGGAAGGGTCATGACTTTAGAATAGTGTGTATATCTCTTTTAAAAAATACAAGTTAGAATTGGGTTTTTACAGAAAATAGATATATCTCTAGGCCCTTAAGTAACCCAAATGTTAAGCCTTTTATTGACAATAAAGTGAAGTGAAACTGCACCCTACAAGCTAATTGGGAAATTTGTCATTAATCATTTCTAGAATATCAGGGAAAATAGATATTTGTAACAGAAAGAATGAAATAAAAGATGATACTTACTCAACCCGACATTTATATTTACCAGGTGCTCCATCAGTTATAATATACTCTGGTAAATCACACCCTGAAATAATTTATGTCAGATTTCAAAGATGATTTATCTACAAGGAGCTTAATGAATTTAGATATCTTTGGAGATGCAGAGTTGAGAAACACTGATGAAGTGTGGCATCAGGTCTTTTCTCAAGAGTCTCAGTAGCAACATTCACTATGGTAATTTTTGACAAGCTCATGATTTTGCATATTGTGATATAATAGCTGTTAGCTTCAAGTTGTTAATCTTAATACTCACCTTCTCTTTCATAAAATCCTTTTAAAGCTTTTTTAGGATCATCAATATATAACTCTTCATTTTCAGGTTTGAGAGAAATTGTCTCCCCTTCTTCTACTTCTTCTTCAGCATCATCTCCTGGAAATAAAAACATTCCTTTCTTATAGGAACTGTATGGAAACAACAGGCATGATTTCTATATATAGGCAGCTTGATTGCATCAGAGCTTCAGTTAATGAACAATTGTTAGACAACTAAATTAGCAGGTATGTAACTATGTATGATGCCATATGAACAATTCTGATGATTACCATGTAGAGATGAAGATGGAAGTCTGCTGTTGCCAAGCTCTAGCAAACCTGGTCTAGAGGTAGGGTCTGAGATTAACCAGTCTCAAGATAAGATCTGCAATCGTTATCGTGATATATTAATGACAAGATATTGTGATATCAACTTAAACCAATACTGCCAATAAGTCAATTATCGTTTTGGGAGAACATTGGATTGAAAACATAGTGCATATCATAGTAGGCAAAAATACAACAAGCCTCAGCCAAACTATTGCAATTAACTAACCCATGCCCCAGGAGCAACCATCATCTCCTGTCATTTGTTGTCGAACTCTCTCATTTTGTTCTGCTTCAGCCAGTCTTAAGACTTCCGCTTCACGTTTCTGTTTTTCTCTCTGTTGTTTTATTTCTGTTATTGATAATTCAGACTCTTCTTCTTGGTCTGTTTCGGGACCCTGAAAAAATAACAGAACACAAGTTACTATTACTGGTTAGATGTTTGATAGTTAATCCATCTGTTAGGATTTACCAAATACCACACATACTGGTATCTTTTACAGACTGAAAACACTTAGGCTCATACAGAGTTGGCTATTTGATTTGATAATACACCTTAATTTGACCTTAGACCTGTTTAAGTTGAGTCTCAAAAAAATCTTATGGATTTATATATAATAAAGCCTGTCATATAACATAAGTAGACAAACCTGTAGAATGTGAAGTCTTGTACTTCCACCAAATTTCACCACATGACCAACTCTGATTCTATGATACACATTTGGCTTCACTTTATTTTTATTCAACCATGTTCCATGAGTACTGTCTAAATCATACAAATACCAACCGGATTCAGAGACACTTTCTTCAGGATTCTTACAAAACTGTACAACTGCATGATATCGGGACAAAGATGGGTGCTCCATAGTTACATCACAACTAGGTAAACGTCCAAAAACATAGAATGCTTTGCCTTTCAATTCAACATTTTCAATGATAGCACCATTTTTTAAAACTTCAAATGAATAACCTTCTCCTGGCAAGCCACTCCAGCTTGGCTCCTTATAAGGAAATGTAACTTGTCGACTGTTGTAGTTTCTCTGCAGGAGAAGCATTGGAGACTTTCGGTTTTGGTGGTTGAGGGGGTTTGATCTGTTTTTCATTTGATTTCGTTTCAGCTTTTTTGTTGTTTTTATCAATATTTGTTATTGGGGAAATAAGGGGTGCCTTTCCGGGCATTTTAAACTGAATAGTTGGCTTGACAAATTCCGTGTCATTCTTAGATTCTGCATTTTTGGCTTCCTGGCTACTTTGGTCTACTGCTGTATTAGTTGATAGCTCGGTTTCCATTATTGCTTCATAAGAAACAACGTTTTCTTCCGACGTTGGTTCAACAACATCGCTTTTGTCCGCCATCATTAATATTCTAATCGCTTACAGCAATGAACAAATTCTTTAAATCGAAAATCTTTTAAATGTCTGTCATTTATTGAAAACTCAAAATGTAGAAAAAAATATTTATATGAAAATTCGAATTTAATTTGAAATTGGTTTAAGCTACCTAAAAATTAAAAAAAAATATTAAGAGATAATTTGGTTAATGGTAGATGCGGCTAAAATACCAAACGTAACTCCTCAATAAAAGAGTTGAAAACAGACCACAGCTAAATACTACAGTACCAACTTTCACCCAGACCACTATTAAGTGTGATTATAATGATCAATACGGCTCTGATAACGATCAAAGGGGTTTCATTATGCTCCTTGATAACGACCAAGGAAGGTCGACCTTGATTTCCATCTATATTTTCCGAGAGATTTTCCACGTCAAACATTTTTCTAATTCATTAGTAGGAACCCAGGTCGCTTTTGTTCTACTTCATAGGTGTGCAAAAGCTATTTTTTGAACCGGACAATATTTTCAAATTCTTTTGCCTATATAGCTTTGAAATTAAAATTAGAGTGTCAGTAGGTAAATTGGTGTTGCTGCCCTGCCATTGTTTTCCTAGATTCCATTCTATTTGTTATCTTCAGTCAACTATGTACATCCTTGAATCTCTTGGATCTCTTGGATCTCTTGGATCCCCGGATTAGTATGATTACTTTTTATTATTGTAAAGTCTGATTTAACCAACACGGCTCTGGAATTTTCTTAACTTCCAGAATATCTTATAAAATTCTAAGGTACACGTGCACATGTTCTGTTAGTTCAGAAATCGATAATTAGGCCTTTATTCAATCAATCGAACATATTTCCAACAAAACAATAACTTGTTAACTTCCTTAGACTGATCTGACGATTGCGTGTTGCTAACTTGATTTCAGTTAAATTAAACCTGTGGTAAAAAGTAAGTGTTTTGATCTATACATCAACTCTTTCTAGGTTTTTGACTTCAGAATTTCAAGTTATCCAAGAGGCTTGCGGTAACACCATCAAGGAGATCGTATTTGTCAAATTTGTTATTGAAAAGAACCATATATCCTACTACTTATATATCTAAGAATTATAGAATTGGGAGGTGGGAATGATTCCAACATGAAGTATATTAGAGTTCAGTAATGCTATCCACTGCGCAATAAAGGGACTCTTAAATATAAATATTAAATATTAAATGAGCGGACAGAAGTATGTTGAAAATGAAAGGTTTCGAGACAATGATATCAATCAGGTTATTTATTGACAAGTCGTGAATAATCCAGTCAATATATTATATAATAACAATAGGTACTGATTAACAATCGAAACAGTCTTGGTTTCACACTCGGAATTTATTCTGAACAAATTAGCACTCAATAAATGTATATCTATGAGATGAAATTTCAAAGATATAGTTTAAAAGAGAATATTTCAAAAGATAATTGCGTTTTCGATATTGATATTACCCTACATCACAAACCTAGTCACTAAGGCCAATATTTGTAGACAGGGATGCCAGGTTGAATCACAGATGTGAATAAAAAGGAAACGGATAAGACAAAGGATAGAAATAAGGTATAAACGTTTCGAAAGGAAAAGAATTCCAAATCATACCCCGATTTGTTTTTCTAATAGAATAATCCTGCAATGATTAAGTACTTAATCTAATCACGGTATATTGTTTTGCACTCTATGTTGCAGGCTAATGCCGCTGTCCTGGCATAATTTCCCTCATGGCGTTGCCCGTCTTCATTAGCCCACATGGTGCAGAAAAGTAGGACGTAAACCTCCATTCATTTCATTTCATTTTTTTTGCTTTACATAGGTGTTTATATGGACTTCTTTACTCTTAATACTCTGAAATCGTACCACATCATGTTAATTATACTATATTGTATTCATAAGCTATGGTAATTTATTTAATTTGTACTAACTTATAGAAACACACTGTGCGCAACTACATTATCTTGTATTCGAGTTAAAACTGTAATCTAGTATTTTGACTCTACAATGCGATTGTGTGATTAACTAATTCGTTAATCTGTAGCATTCAAATCAATCCTATAGCAACAAACACAAGTATTAACTCTCATATTAACAGTTAGTTTTGATCTCAATCAGCGTCAGGGTATACCAGGAGAAGATGGACCATATTTAAACACAAGTTCAGATTGATATTTAAGTGTAACGGGATATTACTAGATTTTGTATTGGATTATTCCACATAAAATGTAAGTTTTGAATAAAAGATCTGTCTTCAAGAAGATTTAATAGTGATATTATTGTACTCAGTCGAGCCGTATAGCATCGGTATCATTAACCACATCGATTATCTTTAACCACATCGATTATCTTTAACCACATCGATTATCTTTAACCACATCGATGTATTAATTGTGCACGGACCAAACGTTGTAATTCCATAACGATTAGTTTTACCAAAAACTGACATTGAACTGTAAAACGTGATAGAGCAAACTCCCACACAAGTATATTATTTTAAACGCATGATTTGACTCTGAAGTACTACAGGAAGCTTAAATGCGTGTTATAACTTGGTGTCCTGAACAATGCAATGATAAAACCTCTTTAAGCCAAAAAATTTTTTCCATATACAGAATATAAAAATGCCGACTGTATCTGGTAAACGAGAAGAACTGTACGGGAAGGCCAGAACTTTCCAGGCGGAGACTATGAAAGCCAACCTGACAAAGTCGGTGGTATTACAAGATGGCGACTATAACATGACTAATAACCAATTAAAACAAGGAGTTTGGAATACCAGTGCTGCTACAGATTTTACCGTAAGTCTTCACGATTTGTAGATGATGGAATGGTATTTTACGCTCATATGCCTATGAAAGGGCTATTAGAGATGAGCATAGCCATGGTGCCCCAGGACAGTCCTAATCACCCAATAAATTTCAATTTCCAACTATCGAAGGATAAAAACTGCTGCACACGGGGTCTTGGTTTGTTGTAGTGTAAATGTAACCATTTTTCCATGAATGGACAGAAAACCACCAAGTCAAAAAACAAAAAACACGTCTTTAGTTATTGCTCAGTAATCCTTTCCATTTCTTTGAAAGATGACGCGAACATTCAATATTATTACATACAATTACACGATTTGCATATAAACGAATTGTCTAAATGATTTACTACAAAAGTCACTATTCCAGCTATGGGAAATAACCTCTGTATGTATAGTTGATATTCCAGACCACAGTTAAATGCTATATTATGCATTTCGTCTTTATTTCGTATTTATCTTTACAGGGACAATCATTAGCAGAGGGATGCAAGAGCGTTCCAAAAACACAGGTAACTTTTTCTTTTTATATGACACATTTTACAACAAGGTGTGTCATTTCTGACAAAATAGCTCTCCAGATAATTATGGACCTAGTATCACCAGGTCACATGATGTCACCGTGCTTCAGTGTCTGATGACGGAATGAAGTCAGTTAGAACGATTCCAAAAAAAGTGTGGTTGTAATTCTTAACTCTATCGGCGTTTGAAATTCTAGTGACCTTGAATTAGTCATCTTTTCTGATTATTTCAGTCACTGTAAATGATCGTGGATTATTCCTGAAAGATCAATGCCAAGAGGTTTGGCCGATGACAAGTTTGTTGAAAGAGCTCTCATAAACCTAAGCTGCGATTCTACTATCCTGCTTCTTTCTTCCTTTTGAACCTGAGTACCATATCTGAAATATGTAAATTACTTGATAACTTTATCATCTCATCTATTTTGTCATCTATTTCAGTTGGACCACCATTTTGAACTGGCTGCAAACGAACCAGTAGAATCATCTAACTACCAAACTAGTCTCTCTCATGCCGATTTTAACAGTAAAGACGGTCATGTACGAGCTGTACCTTGTGAAATAGATAGAACAGTTAACTGGCCCGTAAGCTTTTATTATTTTATTTTATATCTGCAATTTTTTAAGAACATTTACATAGTATTTAAAACTATAGAATCTAAATGACCGAAAGGCATAGAACAAAACTTGAGCAACCCGTGCATTACTAGTTTCCAGAGTTTTTTTACCTCAATGACCTTATACTGGTATACAAGCTATCCTAGCCCTTATTTCGATATGAATTTGAATTCCAAAATCGGAATTGCGTTGGCAGCTTAAGACTGGCTTTATGGACATAACTATATATAAATTCTTATCATCTTTACAGGATATGGCACCTCAATATATTGGAGAACAGAATTTAGGAAAATCAGAATATTATAATCAGTATATGAACACGGTAAGTGGAAAATAAAAATCTCATTAGATAAATATTGGAAGGTGGACTAAAAGAGGACTGGATAATTTGATATTAATGGTCATATTGAGCCCTTTAAGAATTTATCCTGTACGGAAAACTTATAAACTTATCTCATGCAAATCAGACATCTCGTTCCCACCTGTCTCTGACTCTGATTTTGGATTGGCCAACCCAGCATCCCTTACGACATGCTAATGACGATATATTGATGTATCTATTTACAGGAAGGGAGTCTCAATGCCCCGGTCTATCCTAAAGTCAATACGTCTAAAATGCAGCTTCCTCTGGATCCCGAGATCTTCCACAAACAACGAAACACCAGTATAGTTCTTGGTACAGATAAACCTGGGTAAGGAATTCATCTTATCTCAAATTAGGTCATGTACGTGCATATTATAGATAGGTTGATTTGGACAAAGAAAACCTTCTTTCAAATTAGGTCAAACATATACATATTATTATAGTACAATTTTGAGTCATTTTTTAATTGGTAGAATAAACGCAGATCACAAAATAGATCATGTATGTGCATAAAAAACTAGTTCACGGTTCAAACAAGATAAACCCAACCATTCTGAAACCCACCACTCTCTTTCACTGTAAGATTTAATCTGTAAGTCTGAAATGTTGTTATGCCAAGGTCACGGGTAAATAATTGATTACAGTTGTATTATTAAATAATTATTAGTCGTCGAACTTAATGAGATGTTTTTAGATACCGTTACTAACTATTGACAAGATTCCCTACACCTACAACATTTGACCATTCTGCCACGGAAAAGAATTTTTCTCTCAGACATTTTTTGAAAGATTAGCGCTCTTTGATTGCACCCGTTTTTATATACATATTTCTACAGGATTGGCAAAATTGGAACATAACAATATTTAGATGACATCTTTTCCAAACCTGAGTAACATTGCATCCGCAAGTATATAAACCAAATAAGACTAATGGATGCAACTAAAAGTATAGGAACGTGGTTCAAACAAAACCGGCGATAAATTTGCGGGCATTGGAATAACGGAATTGGTATAGTACATTGCATGCGCTTAACAAAGTTGTCCATCAATAATTAATACAATTAGAGTTTTTATTGGCAGACATCAAACCATCCTGATAGTTAATAGTTTACATCTTTAAACATTGCCTTGTGATTGACTGAGAACCTTTTTAATATGTAGAATACGGAACGATAAATAAGATGTGAAGCGATTACAGTGCAGGTTTTCGAATATTCTAATTAGAAGTTCTCTTTTAAAATTTGCTTTTCTCGGAGATTCGGATAAATATTCTTAAGAGAGACACTAAATGCTTGGCTAGGGTACGTGCATAGTATAGTGGTTTCTTTAACGGATACTGTATTGAGGATTTTTAAATCTGGATCTATTGTATTTATAGACTGAATTGTTCATTTATTTGTCAACTATCCAATTCCACTACCCACGAACATATTCAGCCTATTTAGGTATATTTTTTCGGTAAATATCCTGTTTTGCTATCTGTTTTAGTATTCAGTATGTGTCTATAACATCACAAAATTATCCAATTTTGTTATCTTGATATTTGTTTATATCTTTCAGTAAATTATCCAGCGAGCACCAGAGTAGTTACCACGAGAATTATTTAAAATCTCGAGTTCCACTTTCAGTACCCAGTAATAACCTGTCCTCAGAGAAAAACTCGTCACACGTTTTCAGAGCCGGAGACTACGACAATATCTGTAAGTAAGATGTACAACCAATCTTATGATTACATCATATTCGCCTGGACAGAAGCTTAGGTATAACGCTCTATTGTATCCAAAAGGACAAAGACCTTATTGTGGTGAATTTTGTTTTATAGTTTACTTACATTTTAAAATCAAATCTGGCCATGTCAACATCCCTGACAGAGAGTTTGCAGATTGCATTACTTATATATTCATCAATACAAGCCGCGTCTATGTATAAGACGAATATGTGGTGTCTTATGGTGTTCTATGTTTCTTTGTCTGTTCATCATTCAATACGCAGCAATAGTCAAGATTCACACTCTATTTCATGGTTCTTTGTGTTTTATTTTGTATTATTCATTGTGTATATTCTCTTAATCACAACTATATATTCCTGAATATAATACGCACTATTTATTAGACGCATATCATATTTCATTACTACTCTTTTTCAGGCGGCGATTTTAAAACAAACAATATGACTGATTATGGCCCCAGAACGAGAGCGCCGGGTGAACATGTCACATTCAATTTAAAACAAAAAGAGTAAGTATCAAATATACTTTTTAGAACAATTTTCTGATTTTAATAACGTTTGGATAATCCTGGATAGACGGTGATGAAGACTATGAAAATAGTCGAGTAGACCCAAGGAGATCTTCTTTTCCCGAGATGTTTAAATGTATGTTCAAAGGCGATGATTTGATTCGGATTATGCAGGATAGATCAGGATGACGATATTCGACAAGCGTCGACTATCAGACCAGACCCACGGAGATGTCTTAATAGTCCGGAGATGTCAATAAATCTTTTCGCTTTGTACAAATAGCAGGGTAACACTATGTATATTTATCGTTTCAGAGATCCTACTATGAAACTTGACATTGAAGAAAACTTACTGTCGAAATATGCCCAGGAAAATACTGTTCCTCGAGTCCGAGAAGGTAAGATAAATCAACAGATCAGGTACTCATATTTAGGCCACTTTCATCAGGAGCTAGATGTCCCGTTGCATTATAACCTCAGAAAATATTCCACGACAAATCTGATGGCTAGTTGGATATGATAGTTTCGCACCAAGGTTGCCGTACGTATTATTAACGTGACCGCACCCAACAATGTTTAGGACACGACTGTTTTCATTATATTAACGGTTTCTTTTTTCTCTTTTCAGATGCTAAGGGAAGTCGATTAGACCAGGAAAATGCTCACTTTCAAGTAAGTTATATAGCCTTGTGAATGTTACTTTGCCGGGTATCACTAGCGCGACAGGACATGTTAATCCCTCCGAAACACCTGATGCCTCTCTGCCACGAGAGATGTCAGCTCTTTGTACACATAGCTAATTACGTCTTAATCACTCTTTTGCATTTCCACATGCTACAGCTAGCTGGCGTTTCTACAAAATTGAAATGATTAACCTTGCCACTGGCGGAATCTGAGACCAACGACTGTCGGCAATTTGCTTTGAATCCGATGAAATGCTTTGAATCGCCAGTCGACTTGAGCTCACCTGTATGTTACATTCAAAATACGTTTATCTATATCGTGCTGTCTGTTTTTCAGTTCGGTGCAGATGAAAGGACTACCGAATCTCTGTATTCTAAAGACTTTCTACTAGCTGCTAAACAACCTAGAGCTCGACCACAGTTTTATAAAACACCTTCAGCAGGCAAGGTAAGACTTGATTAACTTTGTAGATTTAATGTAGCGGGGTGCAGGCCCGTAGCTACAAGGGGGCATTCCCCCTCCTCGAAAAAATTTATTGACCCTGATCGTAACTATATCATGTATATCATGTCCGAATGGGCAGGGCCAGACATTTGTCGGGATGTTATTAGCGCAACAAGCTGCCATTTTTTGCTTGAATAAGGAACAATTTTTGGTATCTTTGATCTTTCCATACTTAGTTGAATTGCCACTCTGAAACCTTTCCCCTTGAAAACTTGAATATTTAGTACTACCTCTTATCATGTATTTTATATTATTCTTGTAGGTTATCCAAAACGATCCCGTATTTTCTAATTTCGGTAAAACAACACATAGTGTTGACTTCTCTCAAAAACCTGTCGAAGAAAAATTGGTAAGATCAACGTTTCTTTTACTTCGACCAGAAAGATTGTAGGACTTTCCAAAAACAACTCCTGTTTGGGTAAAAGTGACTTCAACGTTTAGTTTGATTCTGTTAAACAGAATTTAAGAGATTAAAACTGATAAAGTGGGCATATTCACGTTTGTATAACTTTGTCATTGGCTAAAATGCTACTTCTAAACCTTGGTGATATGGCACTTAACATCAGCAACTCAATCTGAAATTGGATTGAATGGTATATACGAAGTAATGTTTATTATTAATTTTGCCAGCAATGGAATGGTAAAACAGAAGCTGTTAACAATATGGAGAAGAGAGACGGTAACAATGTTAACTTCTATACTGAAGATCACAGGCCAACCCCAGACAGACAGATTTCATGTAAGTATAAGGCCATACTCGTAACAACAGCTCCATGCCGACTAAAAACTCGAATCTAGGACCTGTATAGAACATCGAGAAGACAGCATGTCCAGATACGCTGAGTAGTATCAAGACACATTTGGTGTTTGGAAGAGGCATTAGGGTGAGAATATCATGTAACATAATTTGAAGTCACAACCAGTGGTTACCAGATAAGAATCCGCTAATTTTCAATAAGAATGTCTTATCTTTGGACGAACCAAAGTTAGGATTTTATAAACCACCAGAAAAAAAAAACTGTATTGGTAACCTCGCCTCTCCGTCTCAGTTTGGCTTTTTCTTGTTATTTATCACAAATCTTTTCTATTTTACAGTAGCTCATGGTGACTACAAGAAACCGCCACCATCATGGCGGCCAATGAAACCACAGAGGGCGCCACCAGTCCAGTTTGATTTCCTCAAGGCCAACGACGCTCTACCTTATTCTGGTAAAGGTACACGAGACACAGAAGCTAGAGTAAGGACTGTCTAAATTTAGGAGATTTTCAAATATAATAAAGGGAGATTTTTTAAATGAAATGTTGCCTATGAATAAAGAGTTAATATCCAATGTTTATAGAAATTTTGGTCACTATCAAACGGGGTCCTTTTGCGTATATGGCATAAGGTCTGGTTCCTTTTGCAGCTAATACAGCCAATCTTTATTGAGTTATTATGATCAGTTTTTCTACAAATACTGTCTTATTTTGCTATACTTTCTACTCTTAAATAGAATTTAAATATTGTTGTTTCGTGAAGTCTTTTAGACTAAATGCTTGATTTGTCTTTTATTTCAGTCGACATTTAATGGCACGTTAATGTCAGGAATTGACGCTCTACAGAGATTAAAATCTAAAGAGTTTAATATCAGAAAAGGTGTGGAGTTAAACAGAGACACCCATTTTACTGTGGGGGTACCCAATCTCACCCCTGATCTCACCACAGAAAACAGAGCCCGATATACAGGTAAACTTACACTTACTGGAACACTGTAAAATAATATTTATAAACTGGTCCTCTGTAGCACGACGTAGTACGCACGACGTGGGGTCTTGTTCTACAGGAGAAGCACTCCAACGTACTACAGATTGCGGTATCTCAAAAAATCTCAATGAAGATTGGTGTCAAAAGCTACAAAGTGTCATATCAAAGGATCTTCCACTAATGTACACGTGTCTGCTTACACAAACACCAGTAATCATTTGTATTCGATTTTCAAAATTGTGCACATATAGATCGTCTTCCTAATGTAACAGCATTATTCTGCACCTGTAGTAGGCCTAATACATTTCTGTTTTCCATTTTACGGTACACTTCTATATTCACAGGTCACCAAGAACTCCACCAGATGAGACCAGCAGGAACAACTGAAATAATTCCTGAAAAGAAATTCAGCCATTTGTCAATCAGTCAGAATACACAAGACTACAGACCGAACGATCCTTATGTTAGAAATACCAAGGAATCTCTGAGAGCCAGGAATCTGTATCGAAGTGAGATCTTCGAGAGTAACCAGTCGCCATTTGAAACTTCTGTTATGAGATCTGATTATGTCCCTTTGAACACAAGAAGGTAAGATTAGAAACTGAGATTGCGTTCTGCAAATAGTCAAAACTTGTAAGGTTTGATGTGTCCTTAAATACCACTGAAAATTAAATATGCAAATGAGAATCAAGAGCTATATTTCAATAATGTTATGTTTCATTTCCTGGTGCGGAAATTTGGGAATCCGGGTGTATTCATTTATCGATACAACAGATTCGGCGGTCAACTTTCGGTTTACGCCATAAAATAATTCAGACGAGAATAGGGCATCAGGGTATTTGATTTCGTCCAATATTGTCGTGAGACATTACCAATGCTCCATGCCGTTCCTGGGATTGTGAACCAATTTACGTTGGAGATTGAATTTAGATTACTATAATCCAAGGGAAGTAACCCCTTCAAATCTAATCAAAGAATCTACCTTACACCTTTGATATTATTTTGTTGTATTTTAGATATACTGAAGATCAACTGAGACGAATTGATCAAGTGAATACAATTTTCTCAGAACCTTTAGAAAAATCTCATCTATTTCACACAGTACCTAAGTCCAGTAAGTACGAAACCATTCAGGAAAAGTAAAACAATTATTATCTGTTGCTGGTTTATGGACTACATGTTTTGAATTCGGTACATTCGGTACCTGTTTTGAATAACGGTATATCAATCTGTCAGAAAGCGTTTGGCGCGGCGAGAAATAAACTTTTCGAATTATTTGAGATTGGAATCGGTGCGGACACATTAGCTACCTATTTCTTACACTTTATATTATGTACATAGTTACTTCCCTTTTTAATCTTACATTTTCCCGCTTTTTTCTATTTCAGAGTCCACTATGATGACAACAGCCATGACAGATTATATCAAACCCGAAAACATGAATGGTACGTCCACTTGAGTGGGTTTACAAGTTAAGAACGAGTCATGAGCATCGTAGTATTCAGAGACCACTTCTTTTCCACAATTCCGCACATTATGCTATATATTTGAAAACAACATATTATTTTCGAGAACCAGATCATGGGACAAATGAAACACATTAGTTCTAGAGCATCTTTGCCAATTTCTTGCAGTAAGACTACTATCGAATCTAAAACCTACAACTTTTGGTTATCTTTACAGGACCAAATCTGTTGGAATCAAGATAGGAAGATCCTAGAACTAATACCAGATATCTTTACCAGAAGGAGTTATCCCCCATGGTATCGAATACACCACGACAGTATTAATAACATGAATTGAAACAGTATTATCAAATACATGTAGTTTTATAAGAGTCCAAGGAACAGTTATATGGAGCACCATTCTCTATCTACCCATATTTGTCAAAGGTTTACCGAGTCGGTCTAATTATCTGACTTTTTCATGCCGTGATCTACCAAACAGATTCTTCAGAAACACAGATTCTGTTGATATTTAATATAGTAACTTAGTAATTTATTTCACGAAACAAGGCTCACTATTATTTATTTAGACTGTGATATCAATTTCTATGTAAAAATACATTTTTGTTTATATTGTTGATGTTTTTATTTATTTTCGTTTATCATAATAAGATTTTTTATGAAAAGTTTGAGTTCCAT